AGGAGAGTCCAGAAACTGTCCCAGCCCAGAGAAGCCCAAGGAGACATGACGTCATGTGGCATCTTGGATGGGATCTTGGAACAGAAAAGGGACACTAGGTAAAAACTAAGGAAATTGGAATAATCTTGCACATGCACCCTCAGATTATGCGCTTTAGTTAATGACAAGGTATTAATGTTGGTTCATTAATGTAAGTAACAGATGCACTACCCTAGTGTAAGATTAATAGGGGAACAGTGTGGGTTGGCTGGAATTATCTAGGTGATCGGCTCAATTTTTCTATAAATCTAAGACTGTTTCTGGCTGGGTAGCTCAGTTGGTTAGAGCATCATCCCGGTACGCCAAGGTTTCGGGCTCGATCCCTGGTCAGGACACATACAAGAATCAACCGACGACTGTGTCAATAAGTGGAACTGCAAATCAATGTTTCTCTCTCTCTCAAGTCAATAAATTTTAAAAATAAAGATATATTTTTAAAAAAGAAATTGCTTTAAAAATAAATCAATGTATAAAACTGTTCTAAAAATAGTCTATTAAAATTTCAACAAGATACCTATTATAAAAGGATTTTTAAAAAATTATAATTAAAAATTCTGTGTGTTATCCACATACAGGCACCAGGCCTGCCCCCCCTTCCTGGCCCTTCCGTTGTCAGATGATAAGCTTTTAGAGACAAGGACCAGCTTTCCACCCCACTCGTCTCCCCTTTCCTTTCTCTCCCATGCTTTTTCTCTTCTATGATTTGGTGAAGGGACTGTTCACGAGGCTGAGCTCTGTAATCATCGAGGCCCCTTGAATTTGCTGAGGACTCCACAGTTGGCCGAACGTGTTTGCTTATATTAATCTCACTTTTCACCCCAGCCTGGAAGGGAGCATTACCATTATTCCCATTTTACAGAAGGGGAAACTGAGGCCCAGAGAGCTTGGGTACCCTGCCCAAAGCCACCCAGGCTGGTGAGCATGTGGTGGAGGCGGCAGGAATGGGAAACTTCCTTAGGTCCTGCTTTCTGTGGGCTTTTCCCATCCGTCTTGCCCCCTCCCTGCCCTCTGCTGAGCTGGGCTGTGGGGAGGGGCATCCTGGAGCCAAACACTTCCAGTAGGTGCTCTGGGGGACCATGTGACTCTTGGGGGCACAGTCAGGGTGATCCATCTCCGAGGGGCCTCAAAGACATTTGCCAGGTTACAATAACATGGGGCTGTGCGGTTTCAACAGCTTTGACAGGCTGGCAGCCACCAGCCCTGCTCCAGGAAGCCAGGGGCCTTTGAGGGCACGAGGCCAGGGTAGCTGTGGGGCCGTGAGGGAGTGGGGGAGTGGAGAAAGCTCAGCAGGGGACCAGTGAAAAGCAAAAAGAGGCGTGGCCGGTGTGGCTCAGTGGTTGAGCGTCACCCCATGAACCAAGAGGTCACTGGTTCGATTCCAGGTCAGGACACACGCCTGGATTTCGGGCTTGATCCCCAGTAGGGGGCCTGCAGGAGGCAACCGATCGATGTTTCTCTCTCTATCCCTCTCTCTTCCTCTCTTTCTAAAAAATCAATAAAAACATATTTAAAAAAAAAAAAAAGGGGAAGGGAGGAGGAGCTGAACTTTTGGATTTTGTGGGCCCTGGGGGCCTTCCAAGTGGCAATCACCTGTAAGAACAGGTTGTCACCAACGATGACAGAGCCGTATTTAGCGCAGGGCCGGCCGGGTTCCTGGCCCTTCCTTCACAGGGCAGTTTCGTTTCTTCGCTGACTCCCAGGCCTGCAGAGAGGCGGCTCATTGCCAGAGAAGTTCTGCAAACGTGGTTGCAATTATTTGCTGAGGCTTTGAGCTTTCTGGGAAAGAGGGTGGGAGCCGGGGGTTAACCATCGCTGGGCAGTGCTGGGAAGGCTGGCAGGGCGTTGGCAATGTGCAAGCCCAAGGACAGCGCCCCCCGCCCAGGCTCACTGGTAAACTGAGTCTCAGGGCAGAACACATAGGTAAGCAAATGAATTTCGCTTGGAGAACTTCACCCCCACATTTCCTCCTCAGAACATCCGAGCAACTCGAGGGAGTCCGGGGTCATGACAAGGACTCGGGAAGATTTAAAATCAAATCAGGTTCTTTCTCCTGGCAATTTTTAGTTGTGTGGCCTTCCATGCACCCCACCCACCCCACTGCCTCAGTCTGCTTCTCTGCATAATGGGGGTGAAAATACTGACTTCAGAGTTGGGATGGTTACATGAGCTAATGCCATGAAAAATGCTACGAGTTGCACACTGGTCTGCAGGTGACAGGTGTGTGATTAGCCTACAGTGAGATCAAAAATAAACTCAGGTGCTCTGACATCCAGCACAAGGTGTCACTCAGTGTCAGGCACAAGGAGTGACTTTAGAACAGCTCAGTGCCACCTCGTAGGGCATCTTTGAGGTCACCTTGTGCACCGTTTTTTAGAAGAGACTGAGGGCCCAAGGGATGACTCGCCCACAGTCTCCCAGCTAAGAACAGGGCCTCAGCTCACATCTCTGGTCGTGTGGACAGGTATCGTTGCCAAGGCTCCTGAGCCCGCTGGCACTTGGTGGCAGTCACCACCCATTGGTAACAACCCTGTGCCCAGGTGGTGAAACAGGGCGAGTGCAGCCAACCACATTTCACAGATTGTAATCTGATCAGATCCTCTCAAAGAAAAGGCCAAGCCCCGGCCGGGTGGCTCCGTTGGTTTGGAGCTGTGTCCCATACACCAAAAGGTGGCGGGTTCGATCCCTGGTCAAGGCACATACCTAGGCTGTGGGTTTGATCCTGGGTCCAGGCGCGTATGGAAGGCAACCAATCGATATTTCTCTCTCTCTCTCAAAAAATCAATAAAAAGACATATCTTTGGGTGAGGATTTTAAAAAAAGAAAAGACCAAGAGAACAGTGGCCAAATGGTACAAAAGACCTCGGGAATGACAGACCACTTACTAAGGAGCTTTAAGGAGACTTGATTTAATCAGGTTTCTATTTGATTTGGTACCTCTCATGCGGAGTTTTACCCAGGAATGCAGGCCCTGCTTGTCTCCTTTCCCAGTGGCCTGGCAGTATTTAAACAGGACTTAAATCCTACATTTGTCACTTGCAGCTTGGCCCTTCAGAGGTTATTAGACTTTGAAGTAGATGTTTAGCCCAGGCTGGAATTTAGCTCTGGTGGAGTCTAGCCCAGGTGTGAAGCCCCCAGGGCTGGCCAAGGTCAACATCAGCTCCCAGCCCTGTTGACCTCTAAATCCCATGGTTAAGTGGACTCTTCCCAGGAGCACCCACCTTAGGTGCCCAAGGACCCCGAGCTTCCATCTCCTGTGGGCTGAGAGGATGGGAAGTGGAGGTGTGTGTTTTGTCAAGTGAAAATGTGTTCTGGCATCTCAGGAATCTGCTCAGATGGAGCTCAGACAGCTGGGTCACGCCCAGCCCTGGGTCACGGTCTCCTGAGAGGCATTTCCCATGGGGCCCCAGGGTGCCCACCCTGATGACTCACACAGCTACCCTGATTTGGCTCCGGTGTTGAAAGTTTTCCAGGCCCCGTTCTGTGGAATCTGACTCAGGGGTTAAACACACAGGCCTGGAGTCACACTGTCTGCATTGTGTCTCCCAAGCCCACTTCAGCTGTGCAAGGACCTTAAACGAGTTACTCCCAGGACCTCAGTGTCCTCACCTGTAAAATGGGAATACAGTTGACCTTTGAATAACTCAGGGGTTAGGGACATTGACACCTGCATAGTTGAAAATCTGTGTATAAATAACTTTGATTTCCCCCCCAAAGGGTAACTACTAATAGCCTATGGTTGACCACAAGGCTTACTGATAACATAAACAGCCTATCAACACATATTTTGTATGTTATGTGTGTTATATACTGCATTTTTGTAATAAAGGAAGCTAGAGAAAATATTTAAAAAATCAAAAGGAAAATACATTTATACTACTGCATGTATTGAAAAAAATCTATGAATAAGTGGACCCACTTATTCATACCTGTTCAAACCTGTGTTGTTCGAGGGTCAACTGGAATCACACTGCCTTGGAGGTTCTGCTGTTGGAGCTTAGTGTCTGGCACATAGTATACACGCAATAAATACTAGCTGTTTATTCTGGGTATCAGAACCTCTAGGTGGGCCGGGAAAGGAGGTACCATTCAAGGTGATCAATTCTGTTACCGATGGACTAGTTTAAGGAGTAAGTGGAAGCTGATGGCAGGAAGCAAGGTTTCAGTTTATCAGAGCAAACGGGGTGCATTTGTAACGGGTCAAAAAAATTGAGGGCAGATTCTATGAGAATCTGAGATAATGGTCCCAGGGTGTCCTCTGAGACGTGTTCATAGGAGCCCGGGGAGCTTCATACCAGAGACGGAGGCCGCAGGCTCCAATCCCCGCAGGCTCTATATCCGGCTAGAAATCAGGGCTCGGCTCCCCAGCGCAGCCTCAGAGCCTGCTGATGGGGCCACCCCAGTGAATGTCCCCTGAACGAACACTCCAGCTGCGTCTGCTATAGTCGGCGCTGCAGCACTGTTGTGATACCATGGCGATGTGTCTTGCAAATACTGAGAACACCCCGCTACGTTCACTTCCTCTAGACCGCACACTCATCGGGGTTTCCTTTTCCTTCGCACTGAGTCACCAGCCCCTGCTCCCGAACCCATCAGTGCTGTCACTCGCCTGGGGCGTCCTCCCTCCTGGCCCTTGGCCCAGAGCCTGAGTGTTTCACGGGCCACAGGTAAGACCGGCCCCGGCAGGTGCAGAGACCACAGGGTGGTGCGGAAGCCCCTCTGTCCTCTCGTGGGAGCATCTCTGGAACCTCGACAACCTGCCCAGTGCAGGGGACACCGGAGGCCTCGGTGCACATCTGTGCAATTGTGCACGAGGCCCTCTGGGCACAAGAAATTCCAGGAAGCTTCTGGAAATGGAAATGGCCAAGCTGCTTGGGACGGGAGAGAAGCTCTAGATCAGCCCTCTCCCCTTCTACTCACGTTGTAGACAAGCCCCTGAGATGGGCTCTGGAGGCATCACTTACCCAGGGCTCCTTGGCAGATGTCTGTGCGGGTGGCTCCTCCAATGATAAACTGGGGATCATCGCAGATCTCCTGGGAACGAGACCCACAGAGAGCTGTCAACCCACCAGGCATGCGCTTTTGCAGCTAGGATGCCTCGGTTCCCAGCAGCTGCACCGCACCCCTTCTCCCTGTCCCTTCCCCTCTAGGGAAAGTCTGCGGGTACAACTGGACCACCCTGAGGTCCTCTTCTGATCCTGCTGAGGAGAGTCGTCGCCCAATGCACCAAACTGCCTAGAGCCTGCATCCTCAGGCTGCCTCCCGGGGCCACATCATCATGGGCTCCGGCCTCCTCTGCAGGGTGGGGACCCTGTCCACACACTGGAGCTGCCCGGCCCCCCACGCTAGCCCTCCCCTCTGTCCCTGCACGTCCATCGTCTCATTGGCATGGAATCCCTCCCTTTCCCACCCTCCTCTCCTTTTCCACATCTTACCATATTTCAAGACCCACTGCCACCTCCTCCATGAAGCCCTCCCCCACAGTCCAGCCCTCACTCCTCCCTCCGATTCTGAGTCCCCGAGTATTTGTACTCTGCTCTGCAATTCAGTTAGTAGTTGTGCTCTGTCTGGTTGTGCTGGTGGGCATCTCGCCTTCCTAACACTCGCACACGCCTGGAGGGCCGGGGAACGTGTCTAGGTTTCTGGATTCGCCCGTGGGCCCGTGGCACCGGAGCACCCCTGTATTGTGAACGTGCTGTGTCAACACTGCGCGTGGTGCGGAGTCTCCTGAGGCCCTCTCAGAACACAGGGTGGGTGCTGTCCCCGTGTTACAGGTGAGGGCACAGGCTAAGGAGCTAAAGCATCGTGTCACAAGTTACAGATGGCACTGGGATAGATGTGACCTTCCTGGTGCAAGTTATATGCTCTTTCCGCTCCTGTGCTGCCTCTAACTGATCAGCAACAGACCTCGAAGGGTGCTGAAGCCCAGGATCGTCCCACAAGTAGCCTGGTAGAGCCACCCACCCTTGGACAATCCCGGCCCCTTCATGAAGCGGCCCTCTCGGAGTGCGCTTCCTGATTCTGCAGGGCCCCACCCAAAGCCACAGAGGAAGTGAGGGCATCGATCTGGGCTCCTCTGGGCCTGGGCAACCTGGCTGCAGCTCCACCCCAACCCCTCAGCGAGCCCCTTTCTGTCAAGCAGAGTGTTTCCTGGGTGAGGCCCGGATCGGGCCCCTGTCCATCCTGGAACCACAATGCACAGCCGAGCATGGTCCTCTCATGTCCCTGCACTGTCCCTTCCCTGCTCAGGGGCATCTGGTGGGCAGATGACAGGGACAGTAAGAAGTGAGGCCAGCTTTGCCCCAGGCCTGCCAACCAAACACTCAGCTGATGGAATGGACTGGGCTTGGTGCTGGGAGCCCAGCAATCGTCCTGATAGCCCCGAGTGCACCAGGATCTTAGGCCAGAGGGATTTTTCCACTGTTCCAGAAACTTGCCTACATCTCTGGCAGCCTCTCCAAGGAAGGCGAAGTTCAGAGCGGCGCTTGGAGAGACGTCAGAAAACGGAACCGTGCCCACAGCGTAGAGGGCGTGGAATGAAATGCAGATATAAGTGTGAGGAAAGGGGGCTGAGGGCTTGGGCTTTGGACTCAGACAACCTGGGTTTGAGACGTGGCCCCTTCTTTTTGTGTGTGTGTGGAATTTTTGTAAAGTTTTTTTGAGCCCAAACTGACAACCATTGCCAGGAAGCAAGATCTAAAATGCTCTGGCCATTTCTTCTATGGGTTCTATGACCCTGCGAGGTTCTTCTCATCTTTAAGCCTCGGTCTCCTCATCTGTAAGTTGGGGATGGTGATCACAGGTGTACCTGCCGCAGAGGGTTGTCATGATAGTTAAATGGGATAACTACGTGAATGTGCCTCGGTAAACACTCTATAAAAGGTCCCTGTCGTTGTTTTTATATTATTATTATTATAATTATTACTGAAGAAGTTGATAATCACTGAACCTGGAGGATGGGTACACAAGTGTGAGATTGAGTTCAGCCAGCTGAGTACAAGCAAGTCCTGACCTTCTCTGAGGCTTGGTTGTCACAGGAAAAAATGGGGACTAATCCTGCCTGCCCTTGCTCGGTCCAGACTGGTGACACCCTTGGATCACACTGGCTTTCTCATCACTGCCCCCTGTACCGNGTCCAGACTGGTGACACCCTTGGATCACACTGGCTTTCTCATCACTGCCCCCTGCACCGGTGACTTGAGCCAATTCCCTTCAGCCCCCTCCCCTCCCCGGAGCCCTGTTGCCAATGTCGGGAAATCCCTGCCTGCGAAGGTGCAGCCCCGAGTCCCTGCTCTCACTTCCTCAGGGGCCCTCTTTCCTTATCTCCTCCCTGCCTCTGCCTTGGGTCCCTTCCTCTCCAGTGACTCAACACAGAGCCCCGTCCGGCTGCTCTCATCTAAAACAGCAGCCTCTCAAACCCCAGTGCCCACTCTCCTTCCCACGTTTCCTCCGTCTCCCCCCCTGGCGCCCTTCTGCCGTGAGGACACCCCATCCTTCATTTCCGGCGCCTTACTCTGGAGCCTGTAACCACCTCGCTTCCACCCCATTGAACCTCTATCGCGCCGCAGCGCTCTGTCAGTAAGTCACCAGCGACTTGCTAATGTCCCAATCCTGTGGACACAGTTTTGTTTCCCACAGCAGTGTTTGGGCCACTGTGGGCTGCGGGCCCCAAACACCCCCAGGCTGGGCACAGTCCTGGCTCCATCCGGGACACCTGTCTGAGCAAATATTTTACCTTTCCAAGTCTCGATTTCCTCACCGGCTGAATGGGAACATAAGAGCCGCACTGCCCCTTGGTTGTGCAGGGCACAGCCTGCCCCACCACGCAATGGCTCCGGGTCTCCTTCCCCATCTAGGTGTCCTATGGGCATTTCCAACTACTGGGTGACCCGTCTGTCTCCCTTCACTGTCCCCTCGTGAAACTACATGCACTATGAGAAGGAAGTGCATATAGTTTATATACAGTCAGGGCTACTCATAGCTCAGAGGCAGAAACTACGTGCACTGTGCTGGGTGTACAGTAGGTGCTCGATAAATGCTTATTGAATGAATGAATGCGAGAACTGGGAGACATGTGTGCAAATTCCCTCTGTAAACTGTTAGGTGCTGTGCAAATGTAAGGTGGATACAGTCTCTTGCTTAGATCACTTTTACAATCGTCCTCATTTGAGGCTCGTTGCAACCCTGCACGCATTCATTCGCTTGTTCCACAAATCGTCACTGTCTTTGTTCACAGGTGCATCCGGAGCATTTAAGACAGTGCCTGGCATATAACAGGCTCTCAGTAAACATTGCTGGCTGCATGAAGGAATGAATGCATGAAGGAATGAATGCCTACTGTGGACGGCACCGGCCCCACTAGGCACTGAGGATATATTGATGAATATAACCCACGGTTCCTGCAGTGCAGAGAAAGTACAAACAAATCTACGCAGTTATATTTGTAAATTGTAAAAATGCCATGAAGGGAATGAGCAGGGTTTGTGATAAAGAATAAAAAGTTGGGGAGGGGGCTGCTAAGAATGGTCAGGAAAGATGACTTGGGGAAGGGTACACAGGACTACATCCCAAGGGATCAGAGTGAGCCAGACTCTAGAAAACCAGGAAAGAGCGTCCCTGGCAGGTGAGCGGGCCGGAGAGAACCGTGTCTTCCAGAAGCTGGGCCTCGACAGTCGGGCGAAGAGAGGGAAATATGTGGGCATCGCCTCTTCATTTAGATGGAGAAATGGAGGCAAGGAGGTGGAACGCCTCAGGCCGGGGCTCCCGGCAGGTTAGCAAGGAATGAACTCAGATGCTCCTGGCCTGGCCTAGGGCACTTCCTAGGCACTTGCTGCCCCTGGCCTGGGTTTGGGGTGACAGAGAAGGGGACCTGGGAGAGGCCTCAGCGGAGTAGAAACGGGGCAGGGATGCTTATTCTCAGAGTGGGAACCTAGAGGTTGGACTTCTAAGGAAGCTGTGTTAAGGTTTGGTCCCCAAGGAGACGGGGCCAGCAGGGATTCCATGGGGAACAGATGACAACTACATTAGGGAGCAGGCTGTCCCTCGGCCTGCCAGGCAAGGACAGAGACACCGGGGAGCCGGACCGGGAGCTTGGAGGGACCCTTCTGGTCCTAGGCNAAGGACAGAGACACCGGGGAGCCGGACTGGGAGCTTGGAGGGACCCTTCTTGTCCTAGGTGCAGGTCCCCTGTCCTTTGTCTACCACCCCGAGAATGGTAAGGGGAAGTCTTCTCACCTCCCGTTGGTTAAAATAAACCAGAAACCCTGGCCCGGTCTGCCCCTCGCTGCGTGAGACAATCCTTAGTCACAGAGGCACCAGGGTGTGGACTTCCCCCTCCCCGAGGCCAGCAGAGATGGACTTTTCCCGGCCAGATGCTGTCCCCCAGCCTCCTTTCCTCCAGACCCTTCTCCCCGCCTCCCATCGTCCCATAAAAGTTGTCCCCAGGCCCGCTTCTGTCACCCCAGTTTTGGTGCAGTCAGTAGGGGGCTCCCCGGGCGGGCCTGCTAATGGGACGTGGGGGGCCGTGTCCAGCTAAGCGTGGGTGGAAGAGGGGACAGGCGCCCTCTTGAACCCGGGCCAC